AGAGGAGCCTGGAGGAGAAGGGACTGTGGCGTGGTCATCCCCCTATGGGAGTGATTTCTCACTTTCTGTCTGTCTCTCTCTGTCTTTGTGGCGAGCGCATATGCCCTATAGCAAAAACCTCTAAAAAAAAGAAAAAGAATACTAGTAGGGAAAACAGCAAGCAGATGGCATGATGGTAACATCTCCGGACTCCCACATAGTCGACTGCGGTTTGAGTCCCAGACTTGACTTAAAACTCACACCAGGCGCATGTGTGAGTGTACCGAAGATCCTAAGAGAAGAAGGGATCGTGGCAAGGCCATCCCCCTACAGTTGATTTCTCGCTTTCTGTCTCTCCAGCAAGTGCATGCGCCATATAGCAAAAATCTCTCAAAAAAAAAAAAAAAAGAACACTAGTCAGAATGTGTTACCCACGTACCAGAGCCAGGCACTGCTCCAAGCTGTCCAATGCCCTAGCTGGGCACCGTGCCCAAGCCCATCTCTGCCTCTCTGCGCACGGTGCACTGGTGATGTGACAGACTTGGTCAGAGACGTGCTTGGGAGAAGGGGCCAATGGACCCTCTTTGGCCTGAGCTCATTGTGAGGGATCCTGGGGAAGCTGGGTGGGGGACACTGCCCAGCCTGTGCCAGCCCCTCAGAGTTCATCCAGCTCCACGAGACCCCTGGATTCCCCCTGCCAGGGCTTAGGGGTCATCACCTCCCATGCCTCCAACCTTCTGCTCTTCCTTCTCTCTCTCTACACCCCTTAAGCCCCACAGCACCCCCCGGTCCCTCCAGCTCCTTCTTTCCTCCACAGCGGCAGTGGAACAGGGTCACCCTTTTGTTCCTCAATGTTGTCACACGGTACCTGCTATTTACCCCTGATTTGGTGGGGGCACTGGGGGCAGGGGGGCTGCCACTGCGACGGGGCTCCGTCGATCCACGCCGGTGGCCACAGGACACTGGACCGTTTTTCCCGCCATGCTGACATCACTGGCAGGGCTGCGTGCTTGTGTAACTAGGGGTCAAATTGTCAGGTCCCCTAGCTCCCATCCTTGCTTCCTCTTTCACCTTCCCATCCCTAACCTAGCATAGTGAGGCACCCTCTCTGCGTGTCCCCAGGAACTCTGAGCTCCCAGGGAACCCCGGGAGCCATCTGCAAGAGGCAGGGCCCTCCCCATGTCTCTGGTTCACCCTTTTCCACCTCCCTCATCCCCCTTTCCTCCACTGTCCCCAGGCCTGAAGGACTGGCTGCAGATGAAGTAACCTCCCCTCCTGAACCCCACCCTGCCTCAACCCCTGTTCTTGGAATTAGGAAGTGTGGTGCCACCTCCTACCCGGGAGCCTAGCAGCTCCTTTGGTGGTAGATTTGCGACTCTGTCACTGTCTTAGAGAAATGGAGACCAGGAGGGAAGGCGAGACCCATGACGGAGCCCTCAGGAGGAGAAACAGAGCCCAGTGGTTCTGTCAGTCAGCTGGGTGGCAAGGTCACCAAGTGGTCTGAGGGGGGCACTCAGTGGACAACCCCAGGGAGCAAGGATAAGCAGTGGTACCCTAGCTGGTCTGGAGCCCCTTCCAACAGGAGCACTTGAGTTGGAATCACAGACCAGGTTCCGGTTTCGCCCACCTCTTTCTAACACTCATTTCTTCATCTGCCAAATGGAAGGAGTAGACCAGCGTAGTCCTCCCATCCCCTTCTAGACAGAATGTTCTGACCCGACCGGCTGGCTCAGGGGTTTTCCTTTTTGTGTGGTGTAAACGTGGGGTTGTGGAAGTGCCTACAGCCTTCTCCCCTTCGACACCCTGTTTCTGGAATGGAATGGACAGAGACTGTGGGGGAAAGGACAGAGCTGGTGTTCCAGTAAAGCAAGGGAGATTTCCTCCCTGTGTCGGAGGGGACTCTCCTAGTGCCTGGTCCCCTGCCCACAGGGAAGCCTACCCAGAAGGGCAGAAACCTCCAGAGCCACCCACCTATTGCTCCCTGAAGGACTGCCAGCACCCCCACCTGTTGCTGCCTTCCTGTCCCCAGAAGGGGCAGCCAGAAATGGCCAAGGCCAACTCTGGTGTACAGGCTAGGAAGTGCACTTGAGGGAGTCAAGGAGAACAAGAGATCCCCCGGGCCAGCGTGGTCAGGAAAGACTTCGGAGATGAGAAGGAGGAAGACAAGGAGTAGGAGAGGCAGGGACGGGGTGGAGGAGGAACTCAAGCAGGTCTTAAGGACAGGCAGGTCTTGAAAGGCAGAAATGAGTCAGGACATCTCAGGTGAAGAGGAAAGTGTGAACAGAGACCCAAGGTTGCTTGGAGAGTGCAAAACAAGTCAGCTCGGATAATACAGAGGGACCCCAGCCAGTAAATCTACCAGGTCCACCAGAACAAGGCCAGAAAAGGCAAAAATGCCAAAATAAGGAGATGGGATTTTATCCTCCTAGAAATGAGGAAGCTGGAGCTTTCTGAGCAGGGAGTGTAGGCTGGATTGGAAGCCGGGAAACAAGGCCATCGCGATAGTCCTGGCGTGAAGTGAGACGTGGGAAGGGAGTGGGACAAGGCAGAAGCACAGAGGTTGTGGGCTGGAGAGGAGGACAGGACAGAGGAAGGAAATAGCAAGGACAGAAGGAAATGCCAATAGGACCTGACCAACAGCTGCAGGCGGAGGCTGAGGGGAGGGAGAGAAGAGAGACGAGTGACAGGGAGAAAGGCGCCACTGAGGAAATGGGAATGGGAGCTGGCCTCAGGGGGTTCAGGAGGACCAGATATTACTAACAGTCCTCCCACCACCCCACACACAAGCAAACGCGCTACTCAAATGTACAGCCTTTGCAGCAGCCTGGAAGATGCTTCTGGGATCCTGCCTACTGGTTGGCATGGAAACAAATCCCTCATCTCCCTTCTTCCAAAGGACTTTCCTCTCCTGATTCAAGGTCTCTCTCCCCCACCAAAAAAAAAAAAAAAAAAAAAAAAAATTTTCTCAGTTTCTGTCTCTCTGTCTCTGTCTGTCTGGTGCGCGCACGCGCCCTATAGGTCCCCCCCCCCCCCAAAAAAAAAAAAAAAAAAAAAACAGAATTAGCTATTTCTTTGCAAGTGCTCTGTCGGTGGCCTGGGATGGACTCCTCAAAGCAAGAGTCTTTCTCTAAAGCCTGGTCTGGAGCTCTGGGTTCCTCTAAGGGGGCCGTGCTCCCCACTCATTGCTCCCAAAGAGTCTGCCAGGCAAACCACTTGGGAAGCCAGCCCCTGGGAGAACCTGAGGCGGCTGGGGAGGAAGAGTGAGACCACCCTGCCTCACTGGAGGGCGAAGGTCTAGAAGGCTCGGAATTGCCTCTCCCATGAGGAAGGAAGCACCCTCCCATCTTAATAATAGTAATCACCGCCGTTACCATTTACTGGTGCCTAGAGAGGCCTGCCACTTCACACACATGAGCTCATTTAATCCTCACAGCAATTGTCTGGGACTGTTATTACCCCCACTTACAGATGAAGAAACTGAATCTTTGAACCCAGGTCACTGTGGCTGGAAAACGTGTGCCGTGTTCCTTACGCCGCGCTGCCTCTGTGTCTCCCACTGAGCTGGCTCACACGCCGGTGCAGTGACTCATCTCTACCCGAGTCTCCGCCAAAACACCATTTCTTGATTCAGTCAGCAAGCTTTGGCAAGTACACGCGGAATGCCCAGCAGGGGGCTGGCCACTGCCGCAAGGCAGCTTCTTCCCCACTCTTCCCATCTCGTGTGTATCTCCAGGGGCTTTGGCCAGGCGTTCAGCCTGTAGTTCCCCGTGGACCTCAGGGTCCCAACCTTCATCAACTTGAGCCCGAGCTTATTAATAATAGGAACTCACATTCAGATCATTCTCGCCTTGTTATATAACCTTTGGATGTTCACTAATTCATTTGATCTTCACAACAACGCTGAGAGATAGGTATATTACCCCTACTTTACTGGCGAGGGAGGAATCAGAGCTTCAGAGAAGTACTGTCACCCAGTCCACCTGACCAGGAAAGCCAGGCCTGCTTGGTGCTCACTCGCTCTCTCTCTCGCGCTCTCTCTCTCTCTCTCTCCTCTCCTCTCTCTCTCTCCTTTCCACCAATGGCATGGCCCAGCTTGCTACCCTCTGAGAACCTCTGACCTCCATGTGGCTCCCATTTTCAGCCCCATCTCAAATCTTCGCCAAACTGGTCACAGCCACCCGCCACTCCCCCTTCTGGGCAGAATCTACCTCTGAGCTTGCCCCCTCTCTCTCCTCTCTGCTCTCGGGGACAGAGGACAGGAAGGGGACCAGTGGTTGCAGGAGGGAGGGGGAAAGCCTCCCTCAGGGAACTCCTTTGGGCCTCAGGGCCCTGGCGCTTAGCTCTGCCCAGCTCAGCTCTGGGAACGTCAGCCAGGTTGCGCAAAAAGCAAGGAGGAGAGAAACAGCATACACAAGGGTGGGGGAAAGCTTAGACACAGGAAGCCGTGGGAGAGAGCCAGTGGCAGGCCATCCTAAGTCCCCAAACACACCACTGTCCCTCACAGGAAACCTGCTGGTTCAAGAAGAGTCCTCCTGAGGTCCCCCCGGCCACCCCCTGCCTCTCCCAAGTTGACTGGCTGAGCAGTGTGGGCCTTTCTGCCGAGGGAACTGGACTCTGGGGAGGAGGAGTGGCTCAGGGGGCACCGGTCTGGGTGGGAGTAGGACCCACACGCTGAACCCAGCTGCGACTGCCGTCCTTGTGCCTCCTCTTTGCCTGGTGTTCGGCGGGGGTGACGGTGATGTCACAGGTGTGGAGTGCCAGCCACGTGCTGGGTGCCAAGCAAAACAGCCAGAGTGAGTGTGTGCATCATCAGTGCCTGGGAAGGAAGGCCACCAAGAAGTGAGTCTGGTGGAAAGACTTGACAGAGGAAAGGGAGGCACCTTGCTGGGTGGGGGCGGGGAGGGACAGAATAAAGCTGCTGCAACGAGGACCAGGCAGAGAAGGCCCGAGCTGGCACAGGGAGGGATGCCCCCTCATGCTCCTCCACTCTGCTTCTCCCAAAGTTTGTAAATGCCCCAGCCATGAGCCAGCCCAGGCCCCGCTATGTGGTAGACAGAGCCGCATACTCTCTCACCCTCTTCGACGACGAGTTTGAGAAGAAGGACCGGACGTACCCAGTGGGAGAGAAACTTCGCAATGCCTTCAGGTAATGGCCCAGAGCCCACACTCCTCTTTCCTCTGCTCCCCCCAAATCCTTCCCGCGCCAGGGCATGGATCCTGCACCAGAATCCCTGAGACAAGGTGTCGGGCAGCCCTGGGGAAGTGAGGTTCTGAACCTTATATTTACAGTCTTAGAAACTCACGTGCGTGCAGCCTCTGGGAGGACAGGGAGGAGGAGCGAGAACCGTTCCGTGTCAGGCTTATAGGGCATCTCCCGTCCACTGCCTCTTAGTCCACCCAAGTCTTTCTTGGTTTTTTAAGAGAGCAATAGTTGGACAGGCCACCACATGGAGGGGTAGGGAACATTGGCACCCTTCCTCCAGACCTGTCCCCTCCTCATTGAAAACAGCCTGAAGCCAACATCTCCCCATGCCCTCTGTCCTCTTTGCCTCCTGGATGTTCCTTGCTTCGGCTGGGGCAGAGGAGGTTTTTCTGGTCCAGAGAAGGCCCAAAGGAGGCCCTAAATCTCTGGGATTCCTTGAGGGAGACATAGCAGAATGTGGTCCTTCCTGCCCATAGGCTCTTGTCACTCTCAGACTCCTGGAACTGTGATGGTAAGTAGTGAGACCTTGCCTCTAAGGAAGGGGTGAATCGAGGTGATCTGTGCCCACCTCTCAGGAACCCAAGGTGACCAGCTTTAACCCCCCCCTTCCAAAACTTCTGGTGGAGGTCGAGCAGGCCTAACTGAGGGCTGGCTCATAGTCCCTCACTCCCCTGGGGAAACAGCTGATTCAGTTACCTGGATTGAGGTCACTGGCAATGGCTAAGTGGAGATGCAGGTGGAACTGGTTCAGGCCAGGGGCATCACCCACTTGGATTCTACTGAAAGCCTTAGCCCAACCCTGCTTCTTTTATGAAGCTCCATCTCTGCCCAGTTAGAGTCAAGGGCTTGGGTGTCCAGTGTTCCGGTACTATATCCACAGCTATACTCAGTTAAGTGGGATCTGCCGGTCTTTGTGCCCAAAGAGTTCAAATTTGAGTTGCTTCTGTATTGGAGGAATGTGGTGCTCTGATATTGTCTGAAAAGATTTAGATGATGAGGGCTGGCAGGTGGCATGGTGGTTAAGGGTGCTGGATTCCCATATGGCTGACCCTGGTTCGAGTCCTGGACCTGGTGGCTTGCTTTCTTGCCCTCCCTTTCTCTCTCTCTCTCTCTCTCTCTCTCTGTCTCGTCAAATTAAAATATATATAAATAAATAAATAAATAAATAAATAAATAACGATAACAAGTGGAATTAAATAAATTTTAAAAAAAGATTAAGATGATGAAAACTACAAAGGGATGAAAGGAACGAGCCATTCCCATGATGCTGGCATGAGAGCCTTGAACAGTGCCTGCCCACAGAAGTTGTTCCAACAAATATTTGTTTAATAAACAAACATATATCTAGAAAGCGAGTCCTGCTCTCCACTTCCCTCTTGGCCTCTGGGGCCTCTGCATGGGTGTTTGGTATCTGTTTCCAGCTCTTTGTTCAGGCTTTGTATTGTTTTGCCTGGCATATGGCAGACTTGCAAGTAAGGCCGGGCATGTACCAGCCCTCAGATGAGCAGTTTTTCTCTCCCTAGACAGCTCTCTATTTGTAAGTCCAGTTTTCTCTGCCACAAATAACCTGCGGGGCTGGCTCTCTCTGAGAACAAGGCTTTCGAGGTGCATTAAGGGATTTACTAGCAGCCCAACTCTTCCACCACTATCCCGGGGATGGGAGAGGCACCCACGAGGCCTAGAGGAGGCTGGAGAGTCAGGTGTCGATGGCAATGCCATTCCATGGAGTGTACTCTGGGACACAAAACTCTCCTAGACTTTCCAGGGTACAAAGCATTGTCTGTGTTGGTTTCAGTCTTGGGTGACATCCAAGGGACCCAGTGTCAGGGAAACTATTGTTGAGCAACAGCAAAGAGCAGGAATTGGTGCTGAGTAGGAAAGGAGGCCTAATCGGAGCAGGCCAGTGAGTCATGAGAAGGGCCCTGAGTATTTGAGTTCCTGGGGCCAGAAAAGCAAATGTCCCTCAGCTCCTTCCAGCCATCAATCCACCTGCTGTCACGCTTGGGTTTGTAGGTCCTTATTCCTGCCGCTCCTGAATTTCTCTGAAAGGACCTAAGGTGTTTAACAAACAGGGAAGGGATCAGCTCTCCCCACCCTGCATTGACCAATGAACAGCTCCCCCATTCTTTCCTCTTTCTGCTGGTCAATTAGCAGGGGAAAGAGCTCCAGTGTTTAAGTCCTCACTCACAAAGGAGGGTGAGTCAGCAGAGACGCACCCTGCAGGGACAAGAGAACCTTCCTTTTGGGGGAAATCCTAAGAAAAAAAATGGAAGTAGGCAGCCTTCACTTGGGCTGAGTTTCAACGCTGACCCATCCTTTCCCTTATTTATTCATTCAACAAATATTTGCTAAGCACCCCTGTGTGGTGCTCCTAGTGTACGCGGGTGAGACAGGCTTCTCACCATGATGGGGGAGACAGACGAAAGCATAAATTACAGCGCAGGATGGCCCGGAGCTGCAGGAGCCCCGACAAAGGTACTGGCTGTGCTCAGTCAGACGGGACTCAGAAAAGCCTTCCCTGGAGAAAGACCAGGAGATAGGCTGGATACATCAGAAGGCCAAGCCGACATAAAATCCACATCTTTAAGCCAAGCCCATGGACTTGCCAGGTCCCCGGCCAGCAGTCAGAAGACCTCCCGCTGATGCCCTCACGAGAACGTCCCTGCCTTGCCGTCTCAGTTTCGTTAGCATACTGTACAGCGTGGGTGCTCAGTGCTACTCCGGAAATCCGAGTGGATTCTGAATGAAAGAATGAAATGAACCCGATTTTATAATCCCTCTCCAATTCGGAGAGTCCGCTCCACGCAGAGCCGACTGCAGACCTACCTCCTCCCCTCTAGATGTTCCTCCGCCAAGATTAAGGCTGTGGTGTTTGGGCTGCTGCCTGTGCTCTCATGGCTCCCCAAGTACAAGATCAAAGACTACATCATCCCCGACCTGCTTGGCGGACTCAGCGGGGGATCCATCCAGGTCCCACAGGGTGAGGAGGTCCCCTCAGTGGGCCTGGCCTGGTGTTCCCTCCATCCCTCTCCCCACCACATCCCTCTGTAACCGCCATCAGCCAAGCACGTGTGAAGCCCTCACTTTTCTTGTCCTTTGCAGGCATGGCATTTGCCCTGCTGGCCAACCTTCCTGCAGTCAACGGCCTCTACTCCTCCTTCTTCCCCCTCCTGACCTACTTCTTCCTGGGGGGTGTGCACCAGATGGTGCCAGGTAAGGCCTCTCCCCTCTCAGCAGGCAGGGTGACCTGGACTGCAAGGACGGGTGAAGGGGTCTGGGTGATTTTCCATCTGCATTCTCCTAGCACTGGTGCCAACCACAGTGGGGGTCAGTGCCAGGTCCTCAGTGACCTCGTGGGAGCCGTAGAGCTGCCGTGAGCTCTGCTAGCATGAGCTGTCCCATCTGCCTCCCTGGCAGAACAACACACGCATGTGCAGTGAAGGGCCCGGCAGGCATGAGAAAGCACTGTCTAACTCCTAGGCTGGGACTTGGAGGGCCACCTCAGGGACACGTGGAGCTCCTGGTCTTAATGAGATGGAGAAGCGACTGGTCGCCAGGGCTCTGTTGTTTTTCTAGGTTCATTTCCTTACGTGTCCAGTGAGTAACGTGGACAGTTAAGGTGAAAGCACCTTGAAGAGCATAGATGAGAATCATTGTTGTTATGCTGAGGAGGTCTGGAGGTGTGGCGCCCGTCCCCCTGGGCTCCTTTTCTGATTTCCGTGGGCATGGTCCAAACCTCTGATTTTTGCTGGCTGGGTGGGGCACCACAGGTACCTTTGCCGTTATCAGCATCCTGGTGGGTAACATCTGTCTGCAGCTGGCCCCAGAGTCAAAATTCCGGGTCTTCAACAGCACCACCAACGAGAGCTATGTGGACACGGCAGCCATGGCGGCGGAGAGGTTGCACGTGTCGGCAACGCTTGCCTGCCTGACTGCCATCATCCAGGTGAGGGGGACAGCTCCCAACCGTCAGGGCCCTAAGCCAGCGGGGTGTCAGATCACTCTGGCCTGCCTCCAAGTCCCAGTGCGGAGGCTAACGCTGCCATAGGTGGGAGGGCTCTACCTCCTCCCTCTGTCCCTCCCCAGAGCCAAAAGGACCTTGGAAATTCAGAGTAGCAAGACCATCCCTAAGATCAACAGTTGCACCTTATGAACTGTCCTGAGTTTAAAGACTGCCTAAAAGATCCGCAGTCTCTCTCTCCACTACCCCTTGGAGAGACCCACCTCCGCCAGCACAGTCCTGCAGGCTACTGTCGTGCTAACATCCTCACCCCCCTCCAGCACCTCTGCTCCAAGCCCCAGCATGAGTTGCGCAGCATAAATCGAGCTCCTACAAAGGATTCTGCCAGGTTTTATGAGAGCAAGTGCTGCACCATAGAACACAAGAGCCAGGAGCAGCCTCAGAGAGCCCTTTCATCCACACGTGCATTCATTCCACTGAAGTGTCATGTTAGAAGCTGTGCTAAGCCCTGGGGATACAAGATAAGTAACAAAGAGACCCAGTTCACAAGTTGCTCCCAGCCCAGGGGGAGGAAGTAGCGGTGTTAACAGACAAATGTGGATGTGGTGAGATAAACAGCATCAAGGAATGCACAAGTATCTGCAGGAACACAGAAGAGAGAGTCAGGGAAGGCCTCAAAGAGGAGGTGACATTTGACCTCTTGGAGAGAATGAGAAAAATTAACCAGAAACCAAATGGGAAAGGTGCAGAAGGTCTGTCCAGACAGAAGGAACAGCACCCCAAAGCGTAAGAGAGTGATCTCAACAAGGAAGAGCAAGGAGTTTGGTGTGGTTGGAGGGCAGACGGCCAGAAGCTGGACAAGCGGGCAGAGGCCAGACAGTGAAATTTGTCATCTATCCCCCAGGCGGGATAGTTTGGATCCAACTGGTAATTTGTAAGGATCCTTCCAGCTACAGAGAACATGATGGATGGAAAGTGGATTAGAATGGAAACGGGAGACCTGTTGGGAGACTCTGTAGAGGCCCAGGGAAGCTGCGGGAGTGGGGGCAGGGGAGGAGTCTGGATTAGGGCGGTGGCTGTAAACGGGAGACGGTAGTGGACTTCAGGAGTATTTGGAGGAGTGTCAACAGGGCTTGGTGAGAGGGTGGTTACCAGAGGTAGGGGAGGATGACCTCTGAGTTCTTGGTTGGGTCACCAGTTCATGGTGGTGCCATTTACTGAGAGCAGAAACATGGGAGAAAAGCAGGGTTATTTCACAGAGAAGGAAAGCGAGGGGAAGTGGCACTGAGGCCCATGCATGCAGGGACTGAAGGTCTGTGTGGGGACACAGGGCACAGTGAAGGGCTCACTTCTCTATGAACTCCAGGCCTTGGTTAGGGTCGGGCAGGTCACAGGAGCAGTGACCCCCATCCTGGTCTCCCACACACACGCCCTCTTCCCTCCTCTCAGATGGGCCTGGGCTTCGTGCAGTTCGGCTTCGTGGCCATCTACCTCTCTGAGTCCTTCATCCGGGGCTTTATGACAGCTGCCGGCCTGCAGATCCTCATCTCAGTGCTCAAGTACATCTTTGGACTGACAGTCCCCTCCTACACGGGCCCGGGCTCCATCGTCTTTGTGAGTCTGAGGGTACACCCCTGCAGATGGGGCACAGCACAGACACACAAGCAGAATTCACTATGTTCAGGAGCTGTGGGCTCCTCGTTAGGAGATGTTCTCGACAGGTGACCATTGTGCAGAGAGGATTCCAAGGGCATCCCACCTTGGGAGGGAGGGTTGAACGCCTGACTTTGGGGCTCAGTGAAGCTCCTTGGGGTTAATCCCTGCAGACAAGGAGATGTGCAGACTGTCAGTTCCCCATTCCAGCACCCCAGCCCTCTCCAGGGAAGTCCTTCCTCATTCCTAATCACTATCCCTCTCCTTAGCTTGAACTCTTCTAGAGAAAAGGAAATGTTTCTATCTCAGTATTAGCTCCCAGTGCGCCCCCTAGGGGAGGGGTGGGAGATGGCATGGTTGCAGGGTCTAGGTCCTGCTTTGGTGCACCTCCTGGAACAGTGTGGGACCTTTCCCTGGGTAGGCACCAACAGAGGGGGTAGTATGGGGAGAAGGGGTGGGAGCCTGTGAGCGTGATGCTCTCTCCCCCAGACCTTCATTGACATTTGCAAAAACCTCCCCCACACCAACATCGCCTCGCTCGTCTTCGCCCTCATCAGCGGTGTCTTCCTGGTGTTGGTGAAGGAGCTCAATGCTCGCTACAGGCACAAGATCCGCTTCCCCATCCCCACAGAGATGATCGTGGTAAGTGCCTTGCCCAGGACCAGGGTGTTGGGGGCTGGGCTGGGAGGGCTGTGAGAAAAGGAATCCAGCTCCAGCCAGGACCCAGGGAGCCCCTATTCATCCCCACCTCACTCCCTCCATTGGCCGACAGTGGGACAAAAGTTAGACATAAATTCATCTGTCCCCTGTATTTGGCTGCTCCTCTCTTCCTGCTCCTAAGGTTGTCCTCCTCCTCTCAAAAAGGAGTAAGATTTGGGGTCCCCAGAGAGAAGGGAGACTTGGGAGAAACCCGTGCCCTAGCCCTAATCTAGGACAATTCCTACTCTCTACTTGGCTTTGCAGGTCGTGGTGGCAACAGCTATCTCCGGGGGCTGTAAGATGCCCAAAAAGTACCACATGCAGATCGTGGGCGAGATCCAACATGGGTGAGTCCAGGTGGCCCCGACGCCTGGCCCCACCCACACCACACCCCCCTGCCAAGACCTGGGCTAGAGATGGAGATGAGATGAGCTCTGACGTATGAACTCCTGCAAGCTGACACTATTACTTAGTACTGAGCCAATGCCAGGCGTCTTAGGATGAGCCAGCCTTAACTGCTACAGTCCCCCAAGAGTCTCTATGTTAAACAAAGCCTCTCTGATTGGTCCCGTGCTGGCTCTTTGCCTTGCTCAAATACACTGACTCTTTAAATCCATGCAGAAAGCAAGCTACTGGGATCAACAAGAGTCAGTAAGCATCCACTCTGTGCCAGGCACCATGCTTGGCCCTGGGAGGAGAGAGGTAGAGCTTGTCCTGCAGAGGTAGAGCAGGCGTGGGAAGGCCTTGCACCACTGAGGGTCTGTGGGTCCTCAGATTATGAGCACATAGGGTTCAGAGTCTGGGAGGAAACAAACCAGGCCCCACCCTTATTGGCTCTGTGACCTTGGACAAGTTAGGTCCTCCAAGCCTCGGTTTCCTCCTTTGTAAAACAGGACTGATGGTGGGTACCCCTGAGGTTGAACTGCAGATTCAGGTTGGATGGGATTACTTTGTAGAGACCCTGGGATGGAGCAAGGTCTGGCTGCCCTCCCTCTCCTCTCCTCACGCGCTTGGGCCCTGCCTCCCTCCTGGCTCCTCGGCAGGTTCCCCACTCCGGTGTTGCCTGTGGTTTCGCAGTGGAAGGACATGATTGGCACAGCCTTCTCCCTGGCCATCGTGGGTTATGTCATCAACCTGGCTGTGGGCCGGACCCTAGCCAACAAGCATGGCTATGACGTGGATTCTAACCAGGTAGCTCTGGTCACCCTCAGCAGGGCTGGGGGTGATGGGCCAGCGGAGTCCTGGAAAGAGACATCTTGGAGCTCTCTGGGCTGAGGGGAGGCAGGCTGCCTGCCAGCAGGAACCAGGGGTATCTGATCCCAAGAGGTGGACCATCTCCTAGCTGAGAGTATGTGACTTTATGTCCGCAGGGTCACTCCCCAGTATGTTTGATCCCCACCCCTACCTTCCCCCACTGTCCTCTCCTCCCTCCTACAGACTTTCCATCCTGCCCCTCTCCCCACAGGAGATGATCGCCCTGGGCTGCAGCAACTTCTTTGGCTCCTTCTTTAAGATCCACGTCATTTGCTGTGCACTCTCTGTCACTCTGGCTGTGGACGGAGCTGGAGGAAAATCGCAGGTGGGCCCTGTCCTAGGGGAGCGGGCTGGGGGTGCAAACAAAGCAACTGCCCCATGGAAGCCAGGCCCCTTGAGGCAGGCCAGCTCTCCAACCTTCCTTCTCCTTCCCTAGTCCGCTCCACCCAAGGCATCTCTTGGAGATACTTTAGGAACAAGGGTCTCACTGGTACCCATAGCTCCTGGCTCTCTCTGAACAGGTAGCGAGCCTGTGCGTGTCTCTGGTGGTGATGATTACCATGCTGGTCCTGGGGACCTATCTGTATCCTCTCCCCAAGGTAAGAACGAGGACAGTGAGAGTCTGGTCAGAACAGTCCCTAAGAGCTGTGCAGCCCTTCACAACGTGCTGTCACTGTCACTCTTAGAGAGGGGGGAAGAGCACGGGTGATGCTGGGATGGACCCCGAGGCTCTAGCGCCTGCGTTTCCCACACCTAACATTGCATGCAGAGACTGGGGACCCTGTCAGGGAGGCATTCCAAAACTCTAGCTCTGTCCTGCCTAGCTCGGGGGTCAGGTGTGTATAGGAAGGGTGGGAGGAAGGAGACATGCCAGGCGACCCGGAACCACGCTCTGCTTCCCCAGTCTGTGCTAGGAGCCCTGATCGCCGTCAACCTCAAGAACTCCCTCAAGCAACTGGCTGACCCCTACTATCTGTGGAGGAAGAGCAAGCTGGACTGTGTAGGTACTGGGGAGCACTGGGAACCCTCTCAGCCTCTGCCCGTCCACCAGGCCCACAGCCCTGTCCAACAGCGCTCTCCCTGGCCAGCCGCTTCCTCTGTAGCACAGCTGAGTGGTTAAGAGTCCAGGTTCTGAAGCGAGATAGCCTAGGTTCAAACCCTAACTCCACTGTTGCCCGGCTGTGGTCAGTAGCAGGTCCCTTAGCCTCTCCAAGCCTCGGCCTCCTCACCTGTGAAATAAGCACCGTACCCTCTACCCTCTAGGGTTGCTGATGGAGAGAAATACGATAATGCAAGTAGGCGGCATATCGTCGTTAACTGTATCTTGTGCTTCATAAAAGCCAGTCGCTATCATTTTTATGGACTCGCGAAGGCAAAAAAGCAAAAGGAAATTGTTTCTTTTTTTTTTTTTTTAAAGCCTAGAACATCAAGCCAGAGAACCAGTTCTTGAGCAAGTTACCCGACCTCTCTGGGGCTCTGTTTCCTCATCTGTAAATGAGGACAATAGTCACGGCTGTGTCACCCTCTGGTTCTGAGGATTAAATAAGATCACAATGGGAAAGCACCCAGTGGCCGTAAACATTCTGCACACGTCACTCCTTGCGTGGTTAGTCACACACGCCGCTGCCTCTTCCGCGGGACCATGGCGGCTGCCTGCCAGCAGGAACCAGGGGTATCTGATCCCAAGAGGTGGACCATCTCCTAGCTGAGAGTATGTGACTTTATGTCCGCAGGGTCACTCCCCAGTATGTTTGATCCCCACCCCTACCTTCCCCCACTGTCCTCTCCTCCCTCCTACAGACTTTCCATCCTGCCCCTCTCCCCACAGGAGATGATCGCCCTGGGCTGCAGCAACTTCTTTGGCTCCTTCTTTAAGATCCACGTCATTTGCTGTGCACTCTCTGTCACTCTGGCTGTGGACGGAGCTGGAGGAAAATCGCAGGTGGGCCCTGTCCTAGGGGAGCGGGCTGGGGGTGCAAACAAAGCAACTGCCCCATGGAAGCCAGGCCCCTTGAGGCAGGCCAGCTCTCCAACCTTCCTTCTCCTTCCCTAGTCCGCTCCACCCAAGGCATCTCTTGGAGATACTTTAGGAACAAGGGTCTCACTGGTACCCATAGCTCCTGGCTCTCTCTGAACAGGTAGCGAGCCTGTGCGTGTCTCTGGTGGTGATGATTACCATGCTGGTCCTGGGGACCTATCTGTATCCTCTCCCCAAGGTAAGAACGAGGACAGTGAGAGTCTGGTCAGAACAGTCCCTAAGAGCTGTGCAGCCCTTCACAACGTGCTGTCACTGTCACTCTTAGAGAGGGGGGAAGAGCACGGGTGATGCTGGGATGGACCCCGAGGCTCTAGCGCCTGCGTTTCCCACACCTAACATTGCATGCAGAGACTGGGGACCCTGTCAGGGAGGCATTCCAAAACTCTAGCTCTGTCCTGCCTAGCTCGGGGGTCAGGTGTGTATAGGAAGGGTGGGAGGAAGGAGACATGCCAGGCGACCCGGCACCACGCTCTGCTTCCCCAGTCTGTGCTAGGAGCCCTGATCGCCGTCAACCTCAAGAACTCCCTCAAGCAACTGGCTGACCCCTACTATCTGTGGAGGAAGAGCAAGCTGGACTGTGTAGGGAC